TACTTCACAGTTGCTAGCATGGCTATGACCAATAAAACAGAAAATAACCAGAGTGGACAAGGATGTGAAGAATTTGGAACCCTTGAGCTCTATTGATGGGACTCTAAAATGGTGCAGCTGCTATGGAAAACAGTATGGTGGTTCCTCAAAAATTAAAAATAAAACTAACATATGTATTAGTCTGCTTAGGCTGCCATAACAAAATATCACAAACTGGGTGGCTTAAATAACAAAAATGTATTTCTCACAAATCTGAAGATTGAAAAGTCCAAGATCATTGTCTCAGCTGATTTGGTCTTTGGTAACAATCCACTTCCTGGCTTGCAGGTAGTTACCTGCTTGCTGCATCTTTATGTGCAGAGAAAGAGAGAGAAAGAGAGGGGCTGAGGAGAGAGGAAGCTGTTTCATGGGTATAGAGTTTCAGTGTTGCAAGATGAAAAAGTTCTGGAGATCTGTTGCACAATAATATACATAACTTAGCACTACTCAACTGTACACTTAAAAATGGTTAAGATGGTAAATTTTATGTGATGTGTTTTTCTAATTAAAAATAAAAATAATATTAATTATATTAAATATCAACTCTTTAAAAAATAGATAATCAAAGCAAATATTCAGTTACAGATATTTCCCTAAATATTTCCCTCCAAATACCCATCATTTCCCCAATAATCTTTTTGATTATTTTTAGTATTTTTGACCAGGCTCTCCAAGTGTCATACATAATATGACCTATAAGAATATGAATACACATAAAATGTATTTTTAAATGATACTTTAAAGGTACTATTTCTGTTTTACTGTTATAGGTGAACTTTTTTCTAGATTTAAGGAAATTATTTGTCAAGCTTTTTTAAATAATAAAAGCAGGTTTTAATAAATGGAAATTGAATACTATTTACTATCATGCCAATTTAATCTAATTAATTACTGTTAACATGTAACTCTTCTACTATAGGTATTACATCAAGATATTGTCACTATTTTAAGACAGAAAATAAGTGTATCATTTGGCTTGTAGAAGAAAAAGCAATTGTTAGTTTATCCAATACTATAAATTTTGTTTCTTTGACTTTTCAAAGCACGCGAAGAGAAAAAGAAAAAGAAAAAAAAAAAAAAAGAAAAGAAAAGGAGAGCCATGCTTGCATTCATGAAGGCAACTTGGCTCAGACTGATCACGCACGGTCAGTGAAAGGTGATCCTTTTGGGCATAACCAAAGGGAAGTTTGTTTCCTCGCTGTTCTGGAAACCTGAGCCCTGAGCGGGTTCTCACGTCTCGCTCGTTAGTGCCAGTCCTTCTGTGCCACCTTATCTAAGGACGCCTGTTACCAGGGAGGGGATGCAGATGAATCCAGGTCAGATTCAAAGGAACAGCAAGAACAGGGGAGCAGGTTGGGATGCAGAGTCGGTCTTCCTAGAGGGAAACTGGAGAGAAGGGACCTCACAGACGGGTGCGCGGGGCTTCTCCCTTCACCGAGCGCACTTCCTTTGCGCCTGCGGCGAAGGCCAGGAGGACAGCGCGCTGGGCGGGCGGGGGAGCGCGGGCTGCAGTTTCCCGCGC